GGGGGGTCGTGAGAGAAAGAAAGAGATGAACGAATTTACACAAAGGGAATGTTTTGGACAAAAATGAGTAGGATAAGTGTGTGTGCTCAGGCGCATTCTGTGGGCAGACGTGAGTACATTTTTAAGCTTTGCGACCTGAAATAAATAGGCCCCTAAGCCCCATTTAATGATGCTCGTAAACGCCGGAAATTTACTCACTTTTGCATGAGAGAACACGCCTGAGTACGCACACAGTCTTGATAGCGCGCAAGACGCAAGATCAACTCACATTCAGTGACAATAACAATGACATGAAAAGAAAGGAAAAAAAAGACAGCTTGGAAAAGGTAGATGAAAAGCAAAGCAAACTATTGTAGAGACTTGACAGAACGTCGGGTGGTGAACTAAGCACAGACAAATTAAAGTTTATTTGCAAGCGCTTTACATATATAATATTATACGCATGTCCACATTAATAATAAAACAACATTGATTAGTACAACTGGACTACTTTTGCGCGCAGGTGTCGTGTAACTATAGCGCGGTCAAAAATTTGTGGCACAACTTTTCCTCAAATATCTCTTTAACGGGAGAATCAATGTCACCCATACTTTGCACAGCAGTTTGTATAAAAAATGTCTAAACCGAATCATATTTTTTCAGAACAATTGATCAAAAAAATGTTCTTCATAAATTTATAAAATACTAGGCCTATAAATCTCCATCACGCAAAAAATGTGATTGTTCATAGCACTTCCCGCTTCTTGCACACATTTTGCATACACGCACATATATAATGGCCTAAGTCATAGCTCGCCAATGACACTTTTAAGTGGCAAAACTTCATACAAAAATGTTTTTATAATGAACACGTTCTTTTTACACTAAAGGTTTCCTAAACATATGTTCAATAAATATGCATGCTATTGCGATGGGGAAAAAATGACAGACTTGCTTTTGAAAGCGATATTTCCGGAGCTGTAAAATTTTAAAAATCTGTAGAAGCCATCGACTGGGATTTTTTATTAGTACTTTAAGGAATTTTCTAGAATACAGTGTGCAAGAGTTTGAAAAAACATTCACCTGTTAAGACAAATTGATATAATTCACTATGCAAAAGATGGAGAATCTATCCATATGTGTTCGATAGGTAAGGAGATATATTTCACAATAAGTTGCGCCGTGCATTTTTGACCACACTATAGGCGTAAGTTGGTATAGAAGAATTTAATTTGTACTCTTAACTCATATTCCACGCCAGGCGTTACATGATTAATAATCTCTTCTTAATCTAATATAGTATTATAGTATTATACCCTGCCGACCCCATCGTTCGCCCACACATTCCCTTCGCCAACTCTTTCCACCTCTCTCTCTCTCTCTCCCCCTCTCTCTCTCTTCCC